GAAAAGATTGAACTCGCTCTAAAGGACTTCTACGCCGCAACTTTGCTTTCAGAGGGGAAGAAGACGTCCCTTGCAGACTGGTTTTCAACCTTAGACTGCCTTCTTCGAGAAATAAACGAGACGAAGGATCACTACTACGACATTCACACCGCGGATGACAACAATTTCACATGGACGTACCTTCAAACCTGCGCAGATGCCGCCTGGTCTAAATGCTCCGAGTACTACAACAACCAGCAATTGAATTGGCAAAGTCGATTTCCTACAATAACCAGCAGTTGAATTGGCAAAGTCGATTTCCCGAAGACACCGACCTTCCGCCAGCGTACCATGCCGCTCAGATCCTTGACCCGTATCGAAAATGGGCTTGGTTTAGGCAAGAGTGGGTTCTTCCAAGCGACAAAGAGAAGCAGAGGTGGTTCGATAACGCGCAACTGGCCGTGAAACAGCTCTGGGAGATGGAATATAAGGGAAGGTACGCCGTTGAGATGCCCCCGCCACCAGCCGAGAAGGAGAAAGGTCCGGACCCAGCATTTGATCGCCAACGGGAACATAAGCGTATTCGAATAGAGGCCCCGGTCTATGCGGCTGATCTGTATGAGCAATACATTTCTACTGACCGGCTTCATGACGATGAGGCAGGGTGCGATGAGGCTGTTGCGTACTGGCTGTCCCGCTATGACTCCCAGAGAGATCTGGCTCGTTTCGCTCTGGACCTGTTCGCCATCTCACCAATGTCGGATGAGTGCGAGCGTCTATTTAGTAGCTCAAAGCTTACTATCGTTGACCGGCGTGGTAGGCTGAAGGCAGATATTATAGAAGCCTGTGAGTGTCTCCGTGCCTGGTATGGTAAGCCCCAAGATGAGGATGATAGTGATAGCGAGGATAGTGAGAATGACAACGGTGGGATCAATGGATAGTGAGCATATAGAAAAATATATTTTCTCCCAAAAGTATAAACGTCACGTGAAACTCTTCGTGGTCTTGTTGGTCTAACCAGTCTATCAGACCGGTTAGACCAAAGTGGCTTGGTCTGGTTTGGTCTGACCCCCCAGACCAGACCGTCAGTGCGCCCCTCAGCTTCTGCAAGGCGAACAACTGTAGAGTGTCTATGCCGTGGTAGTCGGCAAAAACGTACATGCGAGCATGAGATAGGAAAACTTCGGTACAATCATCTTCAGGTTCATTGCGAAAAGATGTGCTTTTGAATGGACGTGGTGGATACAGTGACGTGAACTTGGTCCATAACTCGTCTGCTTTGCTTTGGACAAAACCCACCGTATTGGAGCTTGTGTGTTTTGATTTTCTTCTGATTGTTGATTTGGGCGTTTCCGCTTCGCCAATTTCTTCTGCTTTGTCTTGTTCAGGTGAGTTCTCTTTGACTGGTCTTTTTCTAGGGTTGCCTTCTTTATAGCTGCCAGTATAAACAAAGTCGCACAAGCGAAGGAAAGTCTGCTCATCTGTTTCTGACCAGTCCGCGCAGAGATCGGTGGCTTCTTTCATGGGGCCATTGACGAGAACGTCTAGTTTCGCGGACTGTTTGGCAACTAGAGAGGAATGAATCGTGTACTCAGTCCTGCATGGGCCAACGACGAATCGGAAAACTGGGGAGGATGAGAAGCTCATTGCATCGATTAAGGGCGTCGGCAAACCACCCAGGTGCTTCTGAATCTGCTACTTTACATTGGAAGCAAGAGTCATCCTGCTTGTTTAGAAGCAGAATGTTGTGGTTCTAATAAATAAAGTACTCCCCTTGATCGTGACCGATGCCCAATTTGCCATTTCTTTCACTTGGCACCCAAGCACACTGCCCCGGACGTACAAGATGAGGGACGTCGGCGGATTGGATGACTGCCTTTGTCACACACACGATTGTATGGGACAGCTTGGGCAAAACGAGAGACTCTTGATTTTCTACCTAAAAGAGCGGAATTATACGAAATTAAATACTTCTGGAATACTGCTGCTTAGGCAGCAGTATTACGACTTCCTATTGCCACTTGCCACTGGTAAGTGGCAAGTTGCCACCTAGGCAGTGATGCTTGCGTGTTCTTGACAGAGGCAGCATTGTGCTTGAATGAGCGACCTGATCTTAACATCCTCCGCAAAGCCATTTGGGTCCTTTCCAAAAAGAAGTATCCGCGCGACGAGGTTAATAACATGGCCCATACAACGTAGGCGACGCCATTCCTTATTGAAGTTGTATTCGAAAGCAAGGTCTTCTAAACAGGTGTCGTTTTCGCTGGCATTGTCCGCTACGAAGTATCCAATTTGGGCTTTCTCGATCCCGAACTCCGTGAGAATCGACTTAATTGTCTCCGCGATCTCGACGCCAGCGTGACTGGTGGCTTGCTCAGGGAGGGCAAGAAGGAAGGTGTAAAATTGGTTATCATCACCGACAAAATGAACGACAGTGCCTGCTCGAAATCAGCTAAAGGCAGAATTATGGCATTAATTCTCGCTTACCAGCAAAGCACTTCAACTTCCTACTTGTCCACAGGTCAAACGACACATGAATTTTGGACTGCGCGGCCCTTAGCAATTCTGTCACAACCCCCTTGTGCTTGTTGTACTCAGCAATAATCATCTTTCGCAGCGTTGTGTGATGAGGAATGCAATGGTGTAACGGGCCAAGCCGCTTGAACGGCGGCTGTGCCGCCTATCACTAACTCCCGCGGCGGGTTGACTCTAGAACCTTCTGTGGAGGTGTATGGGGAAGATATAAGGCGCTATTATTGTGCCACGGAGTATGTAGACTTTCTTTTCTTCTTCATCTTGATAGTAAACAGCTTAGGGACTAGCTAGTTGAATCAACTCGCTAGAGGCCTTTCACACTGACAACACCTTCCCCTGTAAAGGTGCACGTGACTAAGATTACAACACCTCCTTTCCCATTGATAGCTTCAAGCTCTAGATAGAACAAGAACAAGAAGAACAATGATCATATGACTACTGCAGTAGCTAGTGATTACCCCCTGTGAACCGACAGTTGTAGACACGTACGTCGAGTACGGTGGATTGCAGCGGTATTTGCAGTAGAATACCAAGTTCTGTTTTGGACCAGCGCGCTCAGGTTCGGATCCTTGAGGTTTTCGAGTGTGTTCCCAGATTGTATCGGCCGTAGTAATACGTTTACGTTTTGACCTTGTCGAAGTCGAAGATTCAATGGAGGGTAAGCGGTTCCAGTCATCTACCTCAGAATCTCTCTCCATTGTTGCAGCTATAGGAGACCCGCGGTCACTGGGTCTGCGGCTGAGGAATGAGTCCATCGGAAACAATCATGAGCCTCAAGGAGGTGGCACAATCTCACATGGAATTGTGTGATGTATTCTTCCTTTCTTACCCCATCATCTGGCTGGAAAGATGCAGGTCTTATATCCTCATTGGAATACGTGAATTGAGGGTGGTTGGCCAGCATTTCAAGGGATCTATGATCCTGTGAGTCTGTGACAGCTCACAATCTGACAGAGGTCCACGTTTCGATCGGAGCGGTGGTTACCTTAAGCGATACCTTACATTAGTCCACGTTGCCCAGGCCTAGATTCAGCAACCAACATCCCATTCCGGGAGCCTCTATTGGGAAGAGTGGCCTTTCAGGATTAGGGAAAACAGCGTTGGGCATGCGTGAGATGCAGTGGAGTTACTTGTCTGACTATCTTGACCTCGGCACAACTTTACCCCGTGTATGGTCATACTAAATCATACGCCGAAAGCTGTATGGTATATGTATATGCGTATTGTATGACCTAAATATGATTTAACTAAACCATACGCGTATGATTAGAAAGCCTGCTCTCAACTACTAGAATCCATGATTTACCGCATACAGCATTTACGTCAAGCCCGCTTGTTCAGTTAACAGAGGCGGCCTTATCCGACAACCTCGCTACACCACTTCATATCGTTTCAATACGTGAACTCTTTGATAATGATATATTCACGGTGATTTCCATTTTTAATGTGAGTGTCGCGCAGCACTCGTGACGAAATTGTGAGACATTGCTACGCCCCATGCACCTGACCTCACGAAATCTGACTGTTGCCCAGCCTACTCTATTTGCAACATGCCAGCTCACACCATCTGAAGACCGAACTCAGGTCGTTGACCTGCCTTGAGGATCCGACAGGTATCCACAACGCACCGCGACCCGACGAGAAGTTTCCATCCACGAATCGTCCATCTCCTGTTTC